TGTTCTGCACAGATGTAGATGCTCGCTGATAGACTGCACGCCACTCCTGAAAGTCATTCTCGGAAATCTCAGCCACGGCAAAACATAAAGTTCTTAACCCTGAAAAAGGTAGCATACACCACCCCCCAACACACCAAAGAAGTTATTCAGAATTCCGAGGTTTCCATTTTTATTTAACAAAATCTCACTGTGAGAAGACCGATTCAATTCAAAAATATGCTGAGTCCAATTTAATGACAAGACTTTAGTATAAAATATGTTTCCCTAGCCTTTAAAATTGGCACTCTGCTTCTAATTCCCAGCCCTTTTAATCCATCCTCCACACCTAGAGTGACTTTTCTAAAATCTTAATCTTATCAAGTTATTCCTTTGCTTGAATCTTCCAACTGTTCCCCAGGAGGAAATCTAAACCACGAAGTATGGCTCATATACCTTTCATCAACTGCCTTCAACCCCACTCCCTGCCATTCACTTCCTAAATACCAAGGTCTTTGCACATGCTGGTCACTTTTTCTCCATTCCTTGTTCCCCAAGACCTCTCCACCATCTGCTTTACATTTACTTTAAGACTCAGCTCTTAAAATCATCTCTTTGAAGTAACCTCCTCTCACTCAGACCCTGCAGGCAGAAATCCCCAAACAGTCCTATGGTGTGAATGACAATGTTTCAGTTTTTTCTTGTGGGTCTCTTATATTAAAGCTCCTGGCCAGATCAGGATTTCTTCATAGCTGTAACTCCAGTACCAAGCACAGTGGCTGACTCATACCAGTAGCTTCATAGATGATTATGAAGGAAGGAAGAGAGAGACCCACTTCCCTCTTACTGGGATATACGACTGTGTTTATTATTGCTTTTTACCACTGTAAATTTGCAGTAAAAAGAGCGTAAGTACAGTTGAGGGATAGTGACAAAAATGAAAAGCCATTAGACATGCCCTAGGAAAACCATCAAAAGCTGTTTGAGGTGACCTTCCTCCAGTGCCTCTCAATTTTATAACTCACTTCAAACTCAGCCAGAAAAAAGTAGATGGGTTGGAAGAAGGAGAGGCAAAAATATTAGTCAGCCATGCAAAGAAGGAGTTATCAAGGTTTGCAAGAAGACAATGCCCTCACTCAAGGTCATTTAACTCTTAGAATGACTAGAACCAGATGCTAGGCCTAGCGATCTCAAGTCTAATAAAACATGTCTGGGGAAACACATCAGAAGAAAAAAGCAAAGAGCATAGGACATCGAGTACTCAAAGGACTCCACCTTCCATGAAAGGAGTAGGGCTGTCTATTGCCAGATCACTGAGAGTGGAACTTATATCTTTGGGGCCATATTAAGGCATGCTTTTCTCTTTTGGAAACTTGGCTGGGAAACTTACTCAAGGGTAGCCATGGAATAGAAGTCATTCAGCCCAGGGACAGAAATCATGGGGTGGAGGTGGAGGCCAAGCCAACTCAAATCTGTCTAAGAGCTGGAGTATCTTCACTATCACAACCAGAGAGGAGAAAAATGCCCCCCAGTGAAAAAGAAGAAAAGGAAGAGAAGGGGAAGAAAAAGAACCTGTGCTGTATGCTGGTTAGGCTGCACCTGCCAAGCCCTTCAGGAGCTGGAACTTAAGGAATCTGAACTCTGTGGACATGTATGTTTCCATGCTTTTGAATTTTGGAGAAGAATTGGGAGAAAGTTCTTTGAGTTCTTGCTTTTCAAAGCCTAGTGGTTTTTTTGGCCTAGTAATTTTTTAAAAATTCCTGTCTTA